AGGATTTTAAGTGTGCCTTATAGTCCGAAAAATACGGTAGTTATTAGTTGGTTACTGCATTCACAAGAACTGCTATGAATGCTTTGAGATTGGGTTTGTTTTAAGATGGCAGCAAACCTCTTTGGTTTTGACGCCACTCAGACTAACTGTTAACTCATCAATACCGTCAGAATTCAACTCTGTTTCTCCAATTTGAACATCTAACAGGTAAGATATTTGTTCATAACCTTTCTAAATAACCCTATAAATGGTATGAGAATATAATTAAATGTAACAAGAAGGAGGAGGTGGTCACATTTGGTTGAACTTCCTTTTACTTTTATAAAATGCAGCCCAGTTGATGCACCGACCACTTTCCATGTTCAGGCAAGGTGTGCGATTGTAAGTTCACATCATTAATGTAGGCTGATTCAATGCTTTGCATGTTTCTCTCTTGTGCATCAATGTTTGAAGAAACGCATCAATCTTTCATGTTTTCACAGAAGATGTGGTTTTTCCCTCATCGTTCCCATCACAGGACTTCACTCCTCCCAGTGGTGGTTAGAAGGAACAGAACTCCACCTCGTTTCTTCTTGAAGAACGGTACCTTGTGCTCATCTATCACCACAAGTTTTTATTCACCATCAGCGCAGTATAGATAAGGAATTGTCCGTTAATGGCTACACAATTAGGAAGAAGCCTTTAAAGAGCGGTAGATTTCAATTTAGGAACCATAAACCTAGTGAGTTGGGAACTAATTATAACTGCCTCTTGAGAAATGGGAGCCCTTTGAGCTGAGGTCAGGATGACTCAAAATCAGTTTCAAACAGATTTTTACACGGCTGCTTCAGTCATCCACTCCTTCTGACAGCCTGCTGCAGATTTTCTATAATTTACACCATGAGGAGCTTCTAAAGTTTTAATTAAAAGACAGGCCTTGCTGCAGTTGAGTTGGTTTGGGCTTTACAACACAAGAGGGTGGAGACAATCCTGTCCCAGAGAGACGTCGTATCTTTGAACAAAACAGCTCTTTCGCTCCATTTGTCGTCATCTCGGGTTCTATCTCCTCGTGTTCTTCTGAACGCCGAGGTGGAGGGGGAGAAAGTGAGGAGATGAGGCCTCTCCCATCTCATTGTTCCCCAGGGGGCTCGAGTTGGTTTGTGATTTTGTATCTCACGTGATAGAGACACATCTAATCCTGTTAGGAATTAATGTCTTCCTGTGGTCAAGAGGAAACTGCCGAATGAGGGGAAAATGAAAGCTGCAATGTTTGATGTCTTTTAAACGCTGGCTCACAAACATCTTTGGGTTAGAGTCTACATATGTGCATGTGTTTTTGTTCTTGTGACTAGGTACCCTCATGGGATCTTCACGGCTGCTGCCTGCATGTCTGACAGACTCCTCTTAAGGTGTTTTCCCCTCGTTGTCTCTTTCTATTTGTCCCATGTTTGCTCCCTGAGTGAGGAAATTTACCCTCTAGGCCCCATCTGAGCTCCAGGCCCCCAAGGCCTCAACATTCCCAAAGCCCCAACACACAAGAGACCCCCAGGCTCCCTGCTGTACCACAGGGAATACCCCCCCAAGAACCCCAAGGCCTCTCAGACTACCAAGCAGCAGCTCTGCAGAAGAGAGCTAGCCCGAGGGAAGGGTGAAGTCTGGGAATACAACTAAGAACATGCTTCACTTAGCACGAGAACAGTCCCTGACAGCGCCTCCTGTTGGTAACACGCTGTTTTTGCATGCGGGTCCTCCTTGTATTTATATAAAGTTTCCTCTCTGGGGCCTTGACCTTGTTAACAGTCCCCTGGGGCCCATGGAGGCCTGCCTGTGCTACATGTGCGCTGACCTTTCCAGCTCCCAGAGGTCAAAAAACATCGTCTCAACCCAAAGAATCGCAACATGAATCCGATGCTGACGCATAATGCACACGGAGGTTCACTAAATGACACGAGTGCAAACAACGCCATCATTCTAACTGATGGAAAACACTCATTATTTAAGCACACGTAACAAATAAATTATTGGTTCGAGGGGTAAAGCATTAGCTTGTTTTGGATTTTAATATGAGAAAAACCAGCTTTGAATTCACTTGTCCATCTTACAAGGAAACCTTTAAGGGGTTTTTCATGTAAAAAGTTGGAAAGCTAGCAGGCCTGCTGTCCTACAGATGTCTTGAGTTGTGCGTTACCAGGTGTATGTCACCTGAGATTACCCACGCTGAAACCCCCTTCAAGGCAAACATCCAGCAGTGCAGCTGAGAGGGCATCTGGTGGCGCGTGCGTATATGAGTTTGTGTGTTCATGCATTCAGATCGGAGGTAGCATTTCACAGGATAGAATGGAAAATCCTTTTTTTATGTTAGCGGATTGTACAAATCTACCACAATGTACAATCAAAAATGCTCCCATTTGTAAAGAATGTAGTAGATCAGGTGTGTCAGTGCAGGGGTGAGGTCAGCGTCTCTCTCTGAATGTGTGTGATAATGACTGAGGATGTTTAAAGCATCAGATCCTCGAGCTCCTCACTGCATTTGAAGTTTCCTACTAAGAGGGAAGTGAAGTGAGTAAAATGTTCAACTCCACTGTCCCTCTGATCTTCCCCTGCTTTACAACGCTCCCGCAGAGACAGAACAAAGAGAAGCCCTTCCTAATCAAAGTGCATGGGATTAAGAAGCAGGAAAGAAAACAGAACATCACAGAGATAATACGTCATCATAGCCATTACGCGAATTGGAAAACAACCCCGAATGGCTGCTTCAAATGAGCTGCCTGTGAACCTGAAATAGGAGAAAGGCATTTTAATCTTTGTTAGCTTGGCAAGTGCAAAGTTCTGCTGCAGAAATGAAGGAGCACAGGTGCAAATTTGAGCAACAGCTCTTTAAATTCTTGCAGAACATTCTTTGGATTTTTTTTAAATTGAAAGTGACTTAAAACTTTCTGAATTTATCATTCAAATGTCAAAGGTATAGAAAATATAACAAAACACATATATTCAACTTTACATTTTTACTGATAAAGAAATGTTTTTTATTGAAAATGTTTTAGAGAGATTAAAATGCTGAATCTGAACTTTTACTATCTAATAATTCAGAGTTCATTGTTCAGATCCTGGTCCAGAAATAGCAAAACAGACAGAAAAAGGAAATATGCGCCATTTACTATTAACAAAACATATTTCTGATTTAAACTAAAAGTCGGTTTTTGGTTTAAAACATGTAGAAATCTAATATTCCTAGAATTTTGGTGAGACTAATTAATCTATGATGAACAGCAAACAAACAGTGATGCTCTTTTTAGAGAGTAGAGGCTTTTTCTCTGCAGCCAGGCTGTGCTGTTCAGTGCTCAGTTTCCTTTTTGGACGCGTACATATTAATATAAGACAGTGTGAGAAAGGAAAATTTTAAAAAATGAACATAAAATGTTCCAGATAATGAATCATTATCTTGGTTTATTTTGTGACTGGACTTTTTCTGGAAGTAGTAACTTTTCTTTTGATTTTTTTTCCCCGTTTGTAAACCGTTTTATTTTGCAGATTACAACTATCTAGATCAACAAAGCCCATGCTCAATAATCCATAATAATATCTAGATTGTTTTGTAACTTTTTCAACCTGCTGAGTAAAAATGATAGTTTTAAAAAGCTCTGCTGACTTCTTCTTTTCATGATGCACAACCCTGATTTTAAGCTCAGACTTTTTTGTCAAGTTGATCAGTTTAACCTGCATATTAGAAATCCTTATATTAGCAGTCACTGTCAATAAATGCTGGGTTATTAAGATTTGTAAATTCTTTTGACAAGTATATTCAGATCATTTTGGGTTCTTGTTTATCTAGTGTGAGAATATGTGATATAAATGTAACCTTTTAAAGATTTAATCTGTACCAAAAAAAAAAAAAGTTCCCAAACTTCTAAGAACCACTGTGAATATACGGAGCATGTATGTGCGTGTTTATATGGCATTTCCAGACAAAATTAGCCCAGGGATCTGTGCAACAGCTACTTCTGCTTTCAGTCAGTTATATTTTATTAACACACTCACAGTAGCTGAACCATCCCATCGCTAATAGACTTGAGCACAAGCTGACACACAATTCCAGCCACGTCATTTATATTTAACGGGCTGCGGTATGCTCCGAACATGCCCTCTTCTTTCTCACTTTCACTAAAATTGCCAAATATATTGTGGATTCTGGAAACCAATAAGGATCTGAATAAAGTGGACTGGGGTGATCTAAAGTCTGAGGTGGTACAGAAGCAGTTCACTCCTGCACAGGGAGTTTAAAACTCATCTGGTGCTTCCAACAGGCTGATACTGCCACCATGTGGCAAAAAAAAAAAAAAAAGAAGCTGAACCAAACCTGGATGCTTATACATACAGTAAATGCATGAATGTGTGCATGTGTGTTTTGGGACCCAACGTGCTCCGAAGAGGATCAGTGAGTGAAGTTGTGTCTGCAAACGTGAAGGTATGTTGGCTTCCCAGTAAGATTTACTGGGCTGCAGATGTTCCATGTTATAAAGATGTGAGTCTGAGATTTAGGAGGGTGAGACCTGCACCTTGTCAGAGACACAAAAGTGTGCTGTTTCACTCTCTTTTAACCCCCCCACCCCCACCCCCTCACCCATACATTACCACTTTTCCTAGGTGGCCTCTTAACCTGACAGCACACATAGCTGGTTTGTCTTCCAGCCACACAAGTACACACTTTTACTTTGAACTGATGTGACTCCAGTTTTTATGAACTTACAAAAACAGATAACGTCGGAGCGAATGTATACAAGACACACATCACATACTTAAGATGCAATTAACTGGGTGAGTGTTATCTACTTTTTAAATGGTACAAAATTCTCCTAAACAAGAAAAGTCCCAACTTGTGGACAAAAAGGCGACAATTTCCTCTTTCTCCTATAACCCTAAATCCAGTTTGCAATGTTCAGCATAGTTTCAAGCTCAGACGATTTAGACAGCAAGAAGTAAGGCAGTGCAAGTGCATAAAAAAAGTGTATGTTTTCCTCATGTGTTTGTTTTAAGGTCTTCTTGGCTCAGAATAATTGTGGTATTCAACCTTGTCTAATTCCAAGTTTTAATGTCATAATCATGACAGGTGCCAGTTCAGGTGCATCCTAATGATCTTTGGAGTCTTCAGAGGGTTTAGTTCTCCTCACACAGGCAGTTTCAGCTGTGTCACCACTTCAGCAAATCTGTCAGGGCACCCTAACTGCTGACCAGGCTCCAGGCGTTGTTTAACTCTCTCTCTCTCTACTAGCTGGCACAACATATTGTCACCTTCCTCTTCGTCTTCCTCCCGTCCTCTGACTGCTCAGATGGCAGGCTGCAGCTTGGTCAGGTTCCTCTGGTGCATGTTGTGGTGTCGCACCAGCTCGTCAGAGCGGGCAAACTTCTTCTGACAGTTTGGCCAGCGGCAAGTAAAGGGCTTCTCACCTGACAAAAATGGGATCAAGCAGGAAGGGGAAGGACAAGAGAGAGCATTGCTTTAGAATAAAAGATTAGGCATGTGCAGAGTGTGAGCTCATGTTGTATGAGTTGGGAAAAGGATTAGGAAGAAGAAAATAAAAAGTATACGCACTTGTTTTACCTGTATGAGTCCGAGTGTGTGTCTTAAGATGATCTGACCGTGAGAACTTTCTCTGACACGTCTCACACTCAAAGGGCTTCACTCCTGCACAGATGATAGGGTTGTTACAGGCAAAAAAAAGGACAAGAGGGAGGATGGAGGGTCAACGTTTAAATGTGCAATTAGCTGGAGACTGACTGCTTCAAAAGCTTTACTTCTGTTCAAGAATTTTCCAAAACAGGTGTGTGTTTTCTAATACCCCTACGTTGATCAATAGTGATATTTAGTGGTGTTTCAGGGCTGATCTGTTTTTGATTTTCATTCCATGAAATGCATTCAGTCTAGTGGAAAACAAGGATGTTTATTCAATTATATTTGGATAATTATGCTTATAGTCATTTAGAAATTTCCTCACTTGCATAATTGGAAAAATAACATTTTAGAAAAAAACTTAATACAAAAATAAACTTGTAGCTGATAAAAGTTTTGTATTTAATATTAAAATTCCTAACAATGTCATTATACTGTAGTTTAATACACCAATCTTTGACAGATTTTTTTTGTCATATTTATAGAGTTGTATGATCTGAGCCAAATTACTTCACTTCTGTTCAGATAGCTCAGATTTATTTTATATTTGTGCAATTTTTTAGAAAATACTTTGTTTTTATACTGTTCTAAGCCTGAATTTTATAATGGTTTAATGCCTAAAATTAATTATTGTTATTAAAAATGTTTTTACATTTTTGATAAATGGAAATAACTTTGATTAAGAGAGTACTGTTTGATATAAAAACTGCTTTTGGAACATTTATTTATATTTGTGTAAAAACTACTCAAACAGACTTGGGCTTGCTCTTTTCATTGACTCCTTTGAATGAGGCGTATTGTTAAAAGAGGAAAAGATCTAACTCTGCTGGTCATGCAGGAGGCAGACACACATAATATGAGAGTTCAGATGGCCTGGACAGTAGAAAAAAGACAAAAAGCAAAAAGTATGGGGCACAACAAAAGTAGAAATGATGTATGCTCTAGAAATAATATTTAAACTCTTTATCTGCTGTATTTAAGTTTAAAATATTGTATATTAGAGCTTCAAATGTCAACTAATTCATCAAGTGTTTACATTTTTTAAAGTGCATCCAAATAAATGCATATTTTACAGACATTAATTGAGTCCATACATGTTCTGAAAGCTTGTATTAATGATTTTTTTCCTTAATGCAAGTATTTAATTGAGAATACCTTACAAAACAAAAAAAAAGAAAAAGAAAAAGCTCTTTAACCTGTTCACTGCACAGTGTGAGAAATCACTCAGAGCAAAGACAGAAAGTCATTAGCTTCATCTAATTAACGAGGGAATGCAAAATGTCGAATTTTGCAAATAATGAAAATCTGGTTGCAATAAAACCACAAGAAAACCTGAAACTTTTAGCCAAACCTTTAAAACATCCCACACCCTTTATTTTTATGGCTTTCCAAAGTCTGTTTTATCATTCTTTGCAAATTTTTATTTTACCAACAAATGGTCAAATGCTGGATTTTGCTGGGCGGCACGGTGGTGCAGTTGGTAGGGCTGTTGCCTCTCAGTGAGAAGGTCGCTGGATCAAATCTTGGCTTTCCAATCCAGACCTTTCTGAATAGAGTTTGCATGTTCTTTCTGTGCACATGTGAGTTTTCTCCGGGTATTCCGGCTTCCTCCCACAGACCAAAAACATGCACGTTAGGCTGATTAGTAACTAAACTGTCCCTATGAGTGAGAGAGTGAATGGTTGTTTGTCTCTATGTGTCCCTGTGATGGACTGGAGACCTGTCCAGGGTGTCCCCCGCCTCTCGGACAGTGACTGGTGGAAATGGACACCAGTGACCCTTGCAACCCGAAAAGGAAGAAGTGGGTAAAAGACAAAGGATGGATGGTTGGATGGATGGTTGGATGGATGGTTTATTGAGCCTAAAATTATTGGTGCCTTTTAAAGAAGCATTGTGTAGAGTTTAGCGACATCTAGTGTCAAAGTCACAGACTGCAACAAACTGAACATGTCTGCCTCCCTTTATTAATCGAAGTGTGTAAAAAAAACAGCTGAAGAAAAATGTGAAAAGCTAAATGTCTCATAAGCTGAAACATGACCTTTGATTTTCCATTGAGAAAACCAAACGTCACGAGGTTCAGTGAAGCCTGTTAGCAGATCGTTGAAGCTCACGCACCTGTGTGCCTGCGCTGATGCCTCTTTAGCTGGTCTGAGCGAGAAAATTTACGTCCACATTCTGTTACATCACATTGGTACGGCCTTTCCCCTGCAAAAGAATGAATCATCATCACTTCCTTTTGTTCTGAGCAGGAACACAAATGGACATCTTCCCGTCAGGCTAACCTGTATGTTTTCGACCGTGCATCTGCAGATGTGACAGTTTGAAGTATTTCTTGTTGCATCCGGGATGAATGCATATAAAAGGACGCTTCTCACTGCCCACTGAGGACTTCACAACAGAAGCAGAAGCCATGTTTGGTACTCGTCGAACATCCTTTGATTGAAAGAGAAACAAGAATTGAAAGGTGAACATGTTGAGCACTTGTTCGGGCAGTGACTGTATGTTTGTGTGCATTTTCATCAGAAGGCTCACCTGAAGTCCTCTGAAAACACCGTGTGTGTGGATGTGGTACTGGGTGCTGAGGAGCATGGGTGAAGCTGGGGTTGTGGGGTCGCTGTCAATGTTGATTGGATTGCTACGGTCAGAGGAAGATGTGTTCACTCATCAAATAAAAAAACGACGTAAATGAGAAGCCAAAGGTAAATCTAATGTTTTCAAAGCACATAAGGGAACTAAAACAAGTGTTTCTGTCCAAACAGAAACACATTTTATTCCATTTTATTTCATTCTGACTGATTGTGTGATTGTTTAATTATGTGTACAGCACTTTGGTCCTGAGGGTGTTAAAAGTGCTCTATGAATAAAACTGTATGGACTATGGAATGGTATGGTACAGCGTGGTGTGGAGTGGTATGGTATGGTATGGTATGATATGGTATGGTATGGTATGGTATGGTACAGTATGGAATGGTATGGTATAGAATGGTATGGTATGGTACGGTATGGTGTGGAATGGTATGGTACGATATGGAATGGTATGGTATGGTACGGTATGGTGTGGAATGGTATGGTATGGTATGGAATGGAATGGTATGGAATGGTATGGTATAGAACGGTATGGTATGGTATGGTATGGTATAGAATGTTATGGTATGGTATGGTATGGTATGGTATGATATAGTATGGTATGGTATGGTATGGTATGGTATGGTGTGGAATGGTATGATACAGTATGGAATAGAATGGTACGGTACAGTATGGTATGGAACGGTTGGTGCGATATGGTATGCTATAGAATGGTATGGTATGGTAAGTATGGTATGGTATGGAATGGTATGGTATATGGTAGGGTATTGTATGAAATGATATGGTACGGTTTGGTATAAAATGGTATGGTATGAAATGGTAAATGGTAAATGGACTGTAATTATATAGTGCCTTTCTACCTTATTGAGATACTCAAAGCACTTTACACTACAATCTGTGTCCTTATTTACCCATTCATGCAGCACTCTACTAGATCTCTACAAAGCTAATTAAACAAATCATTCTAAAGAGACTAATCAGTGCTTTATCACATTCATACACCGATGGGACACACATCAGAGGCAAAGAGGGGTTCAGTGTCTTGCCCAGGGACACTTCAGCATATGACTGCTGGTGGATTCGTACCCCCAACTCTTGCATTAGAGGATGACTTCTCTAACCACTCAGCCACAGCTGTCCCCAAATGATATGGTGCAGTATGGTATAGAATGGTATGGTATGGTATGGAATGGTATGGTATGGCATGGTACAGTATGTATGGTATGTATGGTATGG